CCCATGGTCCTCTCCAGGCTGATGGCACCCTGCGGGCACTCCGAGCCAAAGCTCAGCATCCATTTGCCAGCTGCTGCTCATGAATTTCCAGCTGAAGGGTGCACGATGTTTTCAGTGCCACTCTGATTGAAGGGTTTATCTTCCAGTCCATTTACTTAATCATCGCACAGTGATCAAGAAGTCGTTTCTTAGAAATATGGTAATAAGCCGATCAGGATGACAACAGAAGCACATTATTGTACAGTTTGTGGAAAATGCTGGCGTTCCCTGGTTTCAGTTCACATCAGGCTTCCCCCCATCAGCAGTCAGTAAATTAAGAAACAGTACCTGGTGACCTTAACACATCAGCCCCCTGGTGTTTGGCAACAATCAGGGCCTGCTTGGAGCTCTCCTCATCTCAGGTGTTGCCCCCGTCCCACATCTTAGCATTTTAGCACACACTGGAAAGGTATGAAGCTCATGTTCCCTTTAACTTCTCTGAGTTGTTGCTGGGATGTCAAAACTTTCATTTGACATCTCCAGCTGCCATGTAGAGGAGAGAGGGGCCAGAGACACCTCAGGCCTGACTCACTGGTAGGAGGAGATTTTTCCTGCCTGACACCAAACGTCGCTGAGGCTACTTTTGTAAAGAAGATTCTACCAAAAATGATTTGGCAACTACAGTTTGTAGATGCTATTTTTCAGGTTTAAAAGATTGAAGCATCCGATGTAAAATAAACTATGTAGGCACACATGGAAATGACCATAAAGAGCCTGAAGTTCCCCTGTTTCTACTTCCGTAGGAACTTTCTGAGTAAGGATGAGTGAAGGGCTTGGCTGTAAGTGCAAAATCCCTATATAGGCTAAAACCTGCTTTATAAACCACTATGGGAGTGCAACGGGCTGCAGAGCCGCTCCTGCCCCTCCGCAGCAGCTCTGCCTGCCAGCAACCACCCTTGAGCTCCTGCCTGGGTGATCCTGCCAGTGTGTGTGTGCACGTACAGCACACGTACGCTTTCCTAACCATGTCTATCAGTGTCATTTTCATGTGGGTGGCACCAGTGACTGTGCATATGGTTGCTGGGTGTAGGTGTGCCAAGGGCTATCGGCACACACGCTTCCCGGTACGCTGGTGCTGTGAATGGAGGGAGCTGTCTCGCCCCTTTTCCTTTTTGATCGCTTCCAAATTTTCCTCATTTTCAATTTCCAGAGTCTCTCGGCACCTGTGCTACGATCATTCCTTGAGAGGTCCATTATCCAAAATAACAAAATTGAGGTGAACAAGGCAGGGAGAGAAATGCATGTGACTCCATTAGTATTCATTTATGCCAAGGCTCTGCGAAACCCATGCGAGAGTCTGTGTTGTTTGGAGTTTATTTAAATTAATCACTATAATTACATTTTGCTCTTTATCAAAAGACTCCTATAGAGATTGTCCAGCTAGAAAATAAAAGGAATTTCAGAAATAGTAGTATTTCAATAGCCTTTTTAAAGACATTCAGGAGCATCATGTAAAACACAGTGGGCACTGGGGGAAATAATTCTGCTGGAAGGTCGGACGGATGCCGAGTTCTGTTGATTTCCTCATTTTTCAAGGCTGGAGGCTTCTGCATGTGAATGAGTCCTTTGTTTTTCCAAGGCTTCTGGTACAGAAATATATCTGCTGCAACAACCGCTTATTTCCTATCCTGGAAACAAAAGCTCTGATAGTGAAGGCAGTCCATTCTGCTCGTGTGGACAACTTCATGTCATGCAAAGCAGAGCAAAGAGGAAGGTGGCAGACAGACTCCTCAGAGACAAAATGCTCTGGCGTGCAAAATCTTGGAGCAGAAATGGGTGAGAACAAAGGTTTTCGCCCAGTACAGCAAGGTCAGCTCAAGGCAGAGCACAACGGGAACAGTAACTCTGATGTATTCATTTTCTTACTCTCAAGTCTGGCAAAGATCTTAAGAGAACCAGCTACATTCTTCTAAAATCCTTTATAGCATTTCTTACCTTAAATTGGACAGCCTTCTTTTTTTAGATATGTATTTACCTAATTCTTCACACTCAGTTGCATGGATTAATCCCACAAGACCTTGTTGGATGTTTTCTGTTACCCACCAGATACCTGCCTGTTCCACCGATGTCTTAAGAAACTTCTGAGACAAAATACAGGTCTTCAAAACTCTTCTCCCTGATATTTTTAGTAGCTACTGATTAAGATGGCACTGTGCAATATATCTATATGCTGCATTGAGGGATTTCCTTTGTTTTCTGAAATCTGAAAGGAGGAATAAGCTCCTTCAATTGTTTATAGGAATCTAGATAATTTAATTGGGCTCTTCTCTCAGAAGACTGGTGGATTGATCCATCTTTCTCTTGTGACATTGAAGAGTTTCATCAATTTCCCAAGACTCGGTTTGGTGTTTAGCCAAAAGTACAGAAGCCATATCACTTTGATGTTGATTTAAAGAATCTTTAGAGCAGCTAGAGTTAATTCCTAACATCCCTGTGCTAACAAACTCTGAATAAAATGCTGTTATCTATAGGGAGAAAGGAAATTAATACCTTCTTAAAATAATGATCTTATTACTACTTATCTTGTTATGCTGTGGTGAGGTTCTCCTTGTTAAACCACCTGCACTTTGAGAGGTTTATAGACAAAAGCAGCATTATTAATTAATGCAACTGTGCAAGCTTTCTGTGAGCTATTACAATATTTTACTGTTATGGCTACTATTATTATTATCAGATAGCCTGTCTGGGAGTTTTGAAGATGTGCTAGCATCTTTCTGTTGCACTGGTTATCCTTCAGTGCCTTTCTTCAGATTATAAATGCCGCTGTTTCTATTAAATTCTGGATGGAAAGCAAGAGCCCATAAAACCTATCCACAGGCTATTTTTGCCTCAAATCAGTATCACTTAAATTATACAAGGAGCAAAACAGAAGTCTGATGAAGATGCTACCTATCAGCAACAGATGTAAATTTGCTGTGCTCGAATATGACTCCAGGATACCAGTCACCCAGGCAGTGAGACAGGGTAAAAGCATCCTTTGGCCACCTGTAACTGATTCCTGAGTCCTGAACAATTGCTCCACTGAACCTACAGTGTCTCGCACTGAGAAACATTGCCCTGGTCAAGGGTGGCTTGTGGGAAAAAAGGAATCCATCCTAGAAGGATTTTTGCCATAAGAAAGATGCAAGTCTTCTGAGCTCTGTTTTTTGCAGCGTAACTGTACCTGCTGTCCCTGTAAGAGGCCACAAAGTTGCAGGCATCAGAGCAACTCCTCTCTGATGCAAGGTATTAGACTACAGTACCATAGACCCTACACTTACTTGGGCATTTATGTGAGCGTTTAGGCATTTTGTCATTCCAGAAGTCAGACTGTTATCCATAAAACTGTCTAGGAAGAGGTTAGAGATCCCAAAGTTTGATTTACAGAGATGAAATGAAGGCCTGCACAATCATGGTCCATTGTCATCTACCCAGAGCCTGTGACCTTAGCCACATGAGAGGGGATTGTCCAGTCATTGTCGTGTTTGGCTGTGGAGATAGTACGTGACTGTGGATCATGCTGCCCTACCCAAAAGTGTTGCAGCTGGCAGGAAGGGCTGTATGAGGAAAAAACCCATAGTATGTCTCTTTCAGAGGAAGTAAAGGACCTGCTAACAAATGATGCTACTATCTCGGTTTTCAAGACTGTTCTGTTCATAAAAGGCTTGAGGATAGGAAGAGTAGTGTTGTTACTGCATCATAAACTTATGTCACACCTGGGCCCTGTCACCAATATGGAATGTCTCTGTGCTACTGCCTACTGCAGATTATGTAGGCTTTGGTCACATTCCATTTCGATTGTCCCACTATAGGGCTCTCCTCTCTCCAGTGGTTCCTCATGCGGGAGCAATTCCCGACCTTTGAACATTGGTCACCACTCTTTGATGCTCTTCCAGTTTAACGATGTGCTTTTTGAGATGAGGAGTGGGGACCAGGGCAAGGTACCCTACACCAAACCAGGACACAGGAGATCTGAGTCCTATTTCTAATTCTGCCACATTTTTTCTTTCTGTTTCCTCTCTGCTATTTACACCTTGTGTGTATTCAGGCTGCAAATGGTAAAGGCAGAATGTCTGTGCTTGGACATAGGCATTCAGGTTCTGGTACAAGACGTCCCAAGTTTGGTTTGGGACTTTGTGTTTCAGAGGGGAATGAGTGAATTTTCTTTGTTCTCTGAGATGGCTACAGCTCTGTGTTCACGGCAGTTCTTCCTCAAATATTTCTAAATCCCAAGTTGTGCCTAGGAGCTGGTTTTTATCACTGTTACTTTTATTGATTTCCACCCCCTTTTTGTTTTGAGCAAAGCTGCTTATGGTCAAATAAGCTCCAATCTCACAAGAACTGCCACAAAACAGCTTCTATAATGATCCAGATTAAAATAGCTGCCTAATTTCAGAAGCCTGCACTATTTGATGGTGCTGGTGAGCACAGATTCCTTCTCACGTTCAGGGGTGAAAAGCCTCAAAGGTTAACGGTGGACTGGAAAAATCAAGAGGAAAGGTGGTGCTGGGGGTTTCCTTTTCTTGCCCATTGGGATGTCTTGTCTGTTGCTCTGAAATCCTTCCTTCCAAGGCACGTTTGCAGGATATGTCCCTTTTTTGTTACCCTAATGAGCCGGGCTGTAGAGACTGACCTGTCCAACTCCTGGACCCAGGGGTGAGAGCCCAGGTTGGGAAGTGATGGATGAGAGGCAGAGGAGTTTAAGTCCTTTCTCTAGAGGAGTTTGCCACCTACTGATTTGCAGGTTCCTTCTAGCTCCTGCCAAGAGAAGTTGAGGGGGAAAGCCAGGAATTTAGGAGTAGGTAGGAATTACCCTTAGAGACCCCAGCCAGAACCCCCCGGGGGGGAACAGCCGAGGCGAGAAGAGGGAGGGGGGGGATGCGGTACCCAGCTGTTGAGCTCCCAAATGGGAGAAAAGCGAATGAGCTGGGTGGAAGCGGCTGGTGTGTGCGTGTGTGTGTGTGTGTTGTGTGTGGCGGGGGAGGGATGTGGATGAGGAGCGGGCTCTCTTTCTTTCTCCCGGGGCTGAGTTAATCCTGCTGCCAGGCGGGGTGAAGCAGCAGTCTCAGCGCTGGATTCCGAGCGAGGGAGACGCGCAACCCCGAAGGCGCAGCAGAGGGGAGGCGAGAGAGGCAGCTAAAGAGAGCAGAGCGGGGGAAAAATCAAATCTATGCTTGGAACTGGGCTTCTTTTTCGCCAATGCAAAAGGGAATATGCAGCACATTTTTGCCTTCTTCTGCACCAGTTTCCTAGGGGCGGTGTTAGGGGCCAATTTCCCCAACAATATCCAGATAGGTGAGTTGCAGAGCTCGGGGCCGGTTGGGAGCGATGTTCCCCGGCAAGTGGGTAGGGGTGGAGAGGGGGCGGTGGGGCAAACCTGACCCCTTCATTTGCTTGCAAAGGCAAAATTCGTGTGTGTGCATGCGTGTGTATGCATATGTGTGTGAGAGACCCAGGGGGTGAACCGCGAGGGCTGCATTTTGTGCGTTGGTACCAGCAGAGATGCAAGAGCAGAGCTGTATGAATTTGGCTTTGGGGGAGGGGAAGATTGGGAATAAATGCCTGCACACACACCAGCACAGAGGGAGAAAAGTGCCTCTGAAATGGAGGAAGCAGGAAAAAAAAAAAATAATCTGTTTCATGCTCTGAGAAATGCCTGGGCTGCCACTGTGCGTTGCTGCATTTGCAAAATCAGCGGTTGCATTATACATTTTTGTAAGGATGCTCTCATCTGTAGGTAACTGGGACGAGAGGTAACAAACAGGCGCTCTCTGTTGTTGTTGCTAAAGAATAAGGGCAGAGCTATTGGAGGAAGATTTTCCATTGAAGTCTCTTTTCATTTCGTGTTACTTGCTTCCCCTGAGCACCAGCAGCGCCTGTTTGATTCCTTTCTCCCTTGCTGTAACTTCTCAGTGCTTCTCTGCCTCCCTTCCTCCCCAGGTTTATTATTACTCTCCCATTGATCTTTATTGATGATGGTTTGTAGCCTAGCCCCACATTCTCTTCCCTTGCATGCCGGTTTTCTTTCCCGCCTCCCTTCTCTTTACAATGCTAATCAATTGCTAATCCACCAAGTTGAGGTAACTCCTGCCTGAGTCCAGCTGCACAATCGGTGCTTTTATTGCTGTTGATGCTGCATCCCCGTCTCCCTCCTTTCCTGCCTCCGTTTTACCCTAAATTTGTGCAACATCCCTGATTTTTTTTCCCTCTAAACAAACACATATACTAGCTTAACTCGGCTACTAGCATCTTATTCCTCTGACACCCGTGATTAGGCTGGGGGTGGGAGGAAAGGGGGGAGTAACGTTCGTGCACAAATAGCGCTCTCCACGCAACAAGGAGGTGCCCTCTATACTAAAGATGTGCAAAGTGCCGTTAATAGCAGGTCTCTGCACATTTGTTTCTTCTCCAAGTCATCTGCCCTGGAGGGTGGGCACCGATACTTTCAGCTTCTTTAATTCCACCTTGTTGCCAAGCGCTTTGTTTCCCTACCTGTGAAATGCCAATAACAGCGCTCCCTTTAAATGCATCTAGATTACAAGACGGTCTGAATTTAATAGCATCATTCTGGAGGCTGTGAAGGGATCTGCTGCAAGCCAAGTTTCCTGCTGGGGGAGCAGCAGGAAACTTTTCCTAGGGCCAGCTTATCGCAGCAGTTCGTTCCTGGTCTGTGGGGGGAGAAAGACTCTGGGTCCAGGCTGGTCCCAGTTCCTGTTGTATTTGTATCATCCCAGCTTATCGCAGCAGTTCGTTCCTGGTCTGTGGGGGGAGAAAGACTCTGAGTCTGGGTCCAGGCTGGTCCCAGTTCCTACTGTATTTGTATTATCTTATGGCTCTGGGCTTGTCTGTACAGCTCAGATCAATCCCTTTGAGGGTCAAGCTTTTGATTTCCTGCCCTCTTTGAGCTTGGCCACTGTCACCTGTTAAATGTAAGGTTTTTCCATGCAGCAAACTTCCAGTAGCAGCAGGTGTTTGGCCATGGGTCTCAGGTCACTCCAGCTCTCACAGCCCTGTCCCCATCCACCCAGAGTTGCCCCTATCGGGCCAGGCTCAGCCAGTCTGCCCCATACCCTGGAGTCCCATAGCATGGGGGAACTCCTGAACTCCTTCAGGGGCAAACCCCTCCTCTTAGTCAGCAGGGTTTAAACTGAGCCTAATTACAAGTGAGAGGAGGTGGAATAAGGACTCTGTTTCCTCCTGTATAAAGGTAATATTGGCAGTGCTTCCGTTTCTCTTACTTAAAGTAATGGAGGCTGAGGACGTTGAGCCGAACCCTGTGGTTCATCCTGACCCCACAGGCTGCCGGGCTCAGGGATGCATCAGGGATCCTATATGTGATCCCAGAATTACACAATGCACAGGCTGGAAAGGTTTTCTGCTCCCAGCCTGTCCCCAGACAGCACGAAACCCCCCAGGTCTTGTGTGCTGGAGGGCTTTGGAGTGTAGAGGCAATACCTGGAGCTGGAGCCTCTGCTTGAAGGAGTATTTTGGATGGAATAGGTTGCTAATACAGGTGTGCTTAAGACCTTTCTTCTTGTTGTTCTGTTTTTCTCCCCAGGGGGGTTATTTCCTAATCAACAGTCCCAGGAACATGCGGCTTTTAGGTTTGCGTTGTCTCAGCTCACGGAACCCCCTAAGCTCCTTCCCCAGATCGACATTGTGAACATTAGTGACAGCTTTGAAATGACATACACCTGTAAGTAGCGGCATTGGCCGTGCTCTCTTACTTTCATTTCTTTATTCCTGACTGGTTTTTTGTGTCTGAAACATGAGACATCTTGCTCCAAATGTGTGACTCCTTTAAGGTTCATGCCAGACAACCTGAACACACAGGCAAAGGATTTATGAATCATTTTGGTTTGTGCTAAGATATAGGGGTGAGGTTGTGCTGCAGTTATTCTGCATCTATTGCATCTGCTCTTTCATTGCTTCCGAAGTGCTATAAAACCCCCAACAATTCATTTCCTCTTGTTTCTCTAACCTCTACCCAACTCATTATGTTGAGGTTTCATTCCCAAATTTCCTATAGCTGTGATGTACAACAAAGATACCCCTTTCCACCCACAAGGTGCACAGAAGTCTCTGTTTAGTGTGAACAACTCCTTCTCCAGCCCCAGTTTAGCCATCTGTCCTTAGAATTTAAGAAAGACCTAGTAGAAAACAGCAGCTTGATGCAAGTGGAGTCCAGATCTGCAATAAGGAGCGTGCTTAATAATGACAGAGAGCTAAGAGAGTTCTAGTTTCAAGAACCACCAAAATTCACTGGCTTTAAAAACAAGTAATTTAAGAAAGACCTAGTAGAAAACAGCAGTTTGATGCAAGTGGAGTCCAGATCCGCAATAAGGAGCATGCCTAATAATGACAGAGAGCTAAGAGAGTTATAGTTTCAAGAACCACCAAAATCACTGGCTTTAAAAACAAGCATCAAAGACTGAATTTGCACCACAGAGTTGATCCTAGGGTGTATTTGTACCCTGCTAAAGCCCAGCACGTGAGCTGTGCTGTTCATGTTGTATGATAAAGTTGGGAAAAGAAAAAAAAAAGACTTTCCAGGTAATTGTATGATAAAGTTGGGAAAAGAAAAAAAAACGACTTCCCAGGTTAACGCCTAGATCAACAGCAACAAATAAGACCAGGAGGGAACCAGAGGAAAAGCAAGCCCATAACCCAGCCCTGCATTTGCAGTAGGGGCTGTTGCAGCATTTGCTTTCCTTGGAGCGAGCAGTGTGGTGCTGTGCATGAGGGGCTTGCGCCATTGGGATGCGACACGCGGAGAATTTCTCGGTTTGACCTAGTGTCAGACACTGCTTTCGCTCCCTGAGCCTGTGCGTGTGTACGGGGACCATCGGGAGGGACATGAGGAACCCTTCCCTTTGTACAGCCTATTGGATTGTTCTTGGCTCCCATCCGTAGCATCCTTTTGATTCACCGAAACATCCTCTCTGCAGTTTAGTCATGTGGGCAGTGGGGTAGAGGGGGACACAGACTGTTCTCTCTGCTAAGAAATACACAGAAGAGAAAAATGCCTTCCTGCAAAAAGAAGCAGGAAGGTACAGGGTACCAGGTACAGGAAGGTACAGGGGGAGAATTAATAAGGCTCTTTGAATAAAAGAAATAGTAGTTGTGGTTTTTTTCTGTTGGAGGGTTTGCAGGTATTTCCTGGCCACTATGATGTAGGAGAGAGAAGTAATAATTTGTCCACACTTTCATTGGCGTGTCTAATGACACATCTAAAGATTTTCTATTTTCCTTAATACGCCTCTATTTGCCAACTACAAGGTTTCCATCAAGGAAGAGCAACTATTTCAGATCAGTCCAATGGCACTTCCTTGGCAGGAAAACTAGACAAATAGAAGAAAAAATACAGCCCTTGTATCTATCAAGGGAAACCGTCACCCACCTGGGGTAGAGTTGCTGACTGTGGCTGGGGATGAGCTATTTCAGTGCTGATAGCAGGAAGAAAGCAGAAACTGCAAGAATATCACTAGAATAAATTCTCCATCTGCGCATAGTTTTCCCTCCCTCTCTACGCCTGCCACTAATGATTTTGTTTACAGCATTAGCGTTGATAGCAAGACCATGATACTAGTTGTGCTTCAGAAATCTGTCATTAGTACCACGGGGGCGGGGGTGGTCTCACAAAAGCTGAATGGAAGCAAGACAAGCCTCCCAAAGGATGTTATATTTGAGCTCTATGTAGGGCACATTGTCCTAGATCAGACCAGCAGAGCACTCCGCACAGTCCAACTTCACTTGTCCTCATTTTTCTTTTCTTATAATTAAAAACTTCCTAAGTTCTTCCAGACTATGGAAGGCAGGACTTGTTTTGTAAGCACAAAAGAAGGTGTTATTCCATGTACCCTGGTGGGGGCGGGGGGGGGAAACCAACCCAAAAAACGCAGTCTGTTGGAAGACCTGGTTTTAGTACTCTAGGGCTGGAGTGAAACTTTTGCCAGGAATTATCTCCTTCCTCATCTTCCAGCAAATTCTGTTCCCAGTTGCTAAGGCTAGATATCAGCAGAAAGATCTGTTTATTTACAGAGAATAAAAACCCTGCCCACGCAGTGGTCCTTATCTTCTGAGAAAAGACTGGCCATGCTACCAGTTAAAAGTACCAGTTTTTGTTCCCATGGAGATGGAGAACACAGCGTTTCCTTGTCATTGGCATTACCTGTTTCTCTGATGGTTAAGTCAAGGGTGTTTGGACCCTGTGAACCTGGTGCTGTCCCTCTCAGGGTCTCCAACAGGACATCTGAGGAAGACTAATAGGTCCCAGCCCTGTGGCAAATCCTGCCTTGTGTTAGGATCCGACCTCATGTGCTAAACGTAGTCCTTATGGCAAGTGCCTGGAGCAGCACCATTCAAAATACAGAAAATATATTAAGAATCAGGGTGATGGCAACAGCAAAAAGCCTTGTTGGGCAGCTTGTGGGGCAATGCCAAAGTGGCGGGATGAACTGCAGCAAAATGACAGCACCCTGTCTAAGGAGATTGTGTGCAAAATGTATCTCAGCATCAGCTGTGGCACCGTCTGCCTCTGCCTGACATATATCTGCTTCCCAGGTCGGACGAGCAAGCTTTGGTGTGACAGTGGGTGAATTTACAGTATGAGATGCAGCCATTTGTGCACAGGTGACAGTGATAGGGAGCTGCTAATGATGTGCTAGTGATGATCGTAAATTGGTAACAATAATATTCATGAAAGTGATAAATCTGTAACATACCAGGAGGCTGCTATTGTTGCTGGGCTGTCGCTGTGACGGCCCAGCAATAACTTTCACATTTCTGATGCTTCCAGTTGTGGACTTTTTGTTGTTATGCGGTGATTGTGAATACCTCTGTGAGGGGCAGCGTCGATCTATGGGTCCTGCAGTCTCTGTGCATAACACATCAGTAGATTACGATTTGAAGCAACCCATAACCATTAAGAAAGCAAAAATAAGTAGCAGATACAACGTGTGGTAACCTTGCATTTCATGTGTGTGGTTGATGCTAATGTTGTTGCATCACTGATACATGGGCGCGTTTAAATAACTGAAATATCTCCCTGAATTCATTCCATCCCACAGAATAAATGGAAATGAACAGGCTCTGTGTTTGCAGCTGGGTGCATGGTGTGGCTTGCTGGTATGAAAACACACACCTGCTGCTTTGAGGGTTCTTAACTAAAGGTTAGGGGACTTTATATTTTTGTGCCGTATCTTCAAAGGCCAAGGGGGAAGGTAAATTTAGAGTCCTTCCTTCAGCAGAAGCATGCAGCAGTTCCAGGTGACTAGAAAGGGTAAAATGATGGTGTGGCGTAGCTGAAAGGTTCGCCTAGTGACGTAGCAGAGCAAAACCCTTCTGATCTACTTTAAAGACGTATTCACAGGTTCTGTCTTCAGCCATATTTGGAAAAGAGCTTTACAGCCTCAAGACAGTCACCAGCAAACTCTGCCTTGCTGGGTTTTGCCGTGACTGCACTCAGGACGCACCAAACATGGCAGGGGATGCTGCAGGTCAGAGCTGAGAGGTTTGGGAAGAGGGATGCTCTGTGCCAGATGCCAGGGCATAGGAGGGCTGAAGCTTAGGAGATGCAGATTCCTATCCCTGGGACATCTGTGGTGGACATAAGCACCGTGTCCTGTTGGTAGCAGAGGGATGAGAGGCTGCTTACTTGAGACAATCAGTGCTGGGAATAGTTTTCTCTTATTTTTCGTCTCAGCCTCTATTTGTGCACACGTAGTGCACATCCCCATCCTGTGCATAGCCCAGCTCCTTGGGGAATATGATTTGCTTCAGCCCAGGCTCCTTAGCTTTATTTAATTTGTGGTGCAGAGACTCCTGCTTTCAGTTTCTGGCCGGAGTCCCCAGGAGAGCCCCGGCAGAGTCAGGCAGACGGTGGTGGTTGCTCTCGCTGCCCAGGGAAGACGGTGGCTCAGCGACAGAATTTCCCTGGCAGTGACCTGGGGGATATGCCCAGTTGAGCAGTGCTTGCAGAAGGTGAGTCACCAGCTTGGTAAATCTGTCCCTGCAAAACTCAGGTCACTTTGCAGGGATGACCAGCGACTAAAAAAACCTCCGTTTCAGCACTGAGCCCTGTAGTTTCCCTGGTGCAGCCATCAGCTGTTGCGTGTCCTTAGGTGTTGGGCTACTGAGAAGGGACATTCAGGAGCTGCACACATGAAACACAGAGGTTTGCACAGGATAGCAGCAGGATTTTGCAGCTGGAAGAAAACTTGTAAAGAGGCTGAAAAACAGTAAATTATTTATCACTCTTCTTCCATTTGTGCACAGCTACAGGTACTGTGAGGTCCTCCTACTGAATACGGGCTGTGGGTGCTGCTGGAATATCAACAGTTGAATCTGTTCTACATTTTAGAAAATTAACATGTAGTTTGGAGCCTGTTCATATTTTATGAAGGCCTCCCAGCACCAATTATAGAGGGATTTGTAGTGATCACTCACTCTGTGCTTATGTTCTTATCAATAGCAGCAAGCTTAGATCCTGATCAGCTATAAAATGAAGTATTTCTTTTAGTTCTTCTTGGAGACTTATGTATATAGAGAGAGTATTTCTGGAGATTGCTTTTTATCTCTTAAATTACCTCTCAGAGACAGGAAGGAATAGGCAAACATTTCAATGTTCTCAAATGAGGATCTAAATTTGGCTTAATTAAACCATTATTGCATGTTGAATTTAAAGGAAGCTTTGTT